CACACACACACACACACACACACACACACACACACACACACACACACACACACACTAATGAGGTACCCTCTGCCTGCCTTCTTCTGTCTATTCGGCTGTGATGAAGTGTAAATGACGGTGGCCAGAGTAATGACAATCCTGCAGCCCAAACACTCTCTCGCGGCTCACAGTGACGACAGCCTCCCTCCTCCCGCCTTCTTCTTCTTCTGCACCTGCACTGTTGTCTTCTTCTATGGTGGTACGGCTACAGATCCTCGGCAGGTGATGGCTGTTTCTGTTGATGGTATTTGGTGTCATCAGGTGTTTGTGTTCTTTGATGACTTGAACCCAACCTTTTCATATAGTCAACTTTTACAACATCCCAAGCAGCCTTTAAAAGCAACTTTTAATTCTTGTTTGCAGATAAATGCAGGAAAAAGCCACCAAAATTGAGAAGTGTTCATCAGCCGTGCAGAGTTGGCAGGTTTGACTAACAAGGCTACTTTAGTTCCTTCCTCACAGCCCAAACACGTGCACGTTTGGGTTTACCGGTCATTCCTAAATGGTCCTAAATGTTGGCCCTGCGACGGACTGGCGACTTATCTGGGGTTTATCTCACTTTGGCTTCGTCTGGCAATCCTCACCTGGATAAGTGCTTAAGAAGCTACATGGATGACACTGATGCTCGGTCAGGTCCATATTGTCTCACTGCAGCCCGCTGTGCAGCGTTTTTCAGTGTGCCAGCATACCCTGTGGCTTGGTGAGGACAAATAAGTAAATACAGAAGTCTGAAGTAGGAGGTGGATGTGGAGGAAAACCTTCAGCATGACGAAGCATCACTGGGCAAGATACTGAGTTTCCACTGATGCATTCATCAGAATGTGAGTGTGAAAGGATGAATGAAGGCTGTAGTAAGAAAGCGCTTTGGTAAATGGACTGATTCATATGCAGTGCTTCTCTGTTCTACCTGAGCACTCAAAGCCCTTTGTACAACATGCCTTATTCACCAATTCGTACAAGCACTTTTTTCATTTTTTTCTAGAGCAACCTGTTACCTTACTTAAGGATGTTTCAGCATATCTAGACATGGATCGAACCGCCAACCTTCCAATTAGCAGATGACCTGCTTTTACCTCCTGAGCTGCAGCCAATCCCAAACAGAGCAGAAAAGAACTATATAAATACGGCTCCTTTTGTTGCTTTGTCGCTGGCGTTAGGGAAAAGGTCAGTGTTTGGGTTTAGACGCCTCTTTTCTCAGCATTGAACAAAACTTACGTATCTCCTCTTCAATAAGCTTATTCTTCATTTGCCTAATCG